GGGGGGGGCCGGCGGCCCTGCGGCCTTTCTCCCCCTCCCCGCCGGACTGCCAGGGCGCGGGGTTTGCTGCGGACCCTACAAGCAGCCTCCGGGCCAGCGGAGAAGAGGGCAGCGCACCCCAGGCCCAGGAGAATCGCTTTCCCAGGCAGGGAAAGAGCTGCTCCCCGACCAGCTGCGGCGTGGAAGAGGCTGCCAGGCCCCAAGGGCACCCAAATGCCTCCATCGCCCAGCACTGCCCAGAGCAAGCGCTCGCCTGGGCCACGAGGCGGAGGCGGGAAGGACCGGCTTTTCTCATTAGTTCCACCAAAGGGGGGGAAAGTGGCATTTCAGGCTGCGTGAGAAACGTGCCTGCGTGCCGAAGGACAAAGTTAGTGCGGTCCTTCGCAGAACAGAAAATGGACCTGAAGCCGCTCAGATTCACTCACTGCTGTTCGCAAAAAACAAAAAGCGCTCTATTTTACTATATAAGTGTACGTTGGACATATAGGATCTATAATTTTAAAAAAAATGTCTTAAGGAAAAAACAACCACTACAAACTCTCGACAGTTACCCCCTGGATAGCCCCAGGCTGTCTTTTCCACAGAGTCCGCCACAGGGATTGGACTCCCACTCCCATAATCCCCAGCCAGGCTGGTATCCACTGCGGGCTCCCACCGGGCCAGATTTGCCGTGGCGCATGTTACCCAGGCAACATTGCCCAGGCGGCCTCCTCTAGGCGTTCTTGCTGGAATTTCGCTCTCTGGCGAAAACGATCTTCCTCTTCTCGGGTAACACCTCTCCTATATGGCTGGACTGAACTAACTACGAGACGAGAAATCAGGGCAACCGGGACAAAGTCAGAAGAGGTATCGAGTTCGGAAAACACACAAATAAAAGCAGGGACCCGGTCGTTTCAAACCGTGATAAAAGATGTTTATTTCAAAATTACAGTCCTCTCCAAAGGCAGGGAGTTAATAAAGAACAAATTGGCAAAACGAATCCATAGTTGGGGTAGCACAAATTCCTTGCAGATCTTTCTTCCCTTTTGTCAGAAAGAAGGCGAGTCCCCTCTCGTGTGAGAAAACTCTTTCCTGAGCTAAATGCTCAACCCGCTGCCCCCCCCCGAGGGTTGCGAGCCCCAGAGAAGAGCTGTTTTGCAGAATCCTCCCCCTTCCACGCCTTAAAACCTCAACCGCACATCTTGAAACCATTGGCGTGCCTTCTCGTTGGATCCGATTACCCGAGGCACGCTGCACATCTGGATACAATTCAGCTTTAGGCGGGAGCAGCACGAGGAGAAAACCCAACGTTTGCACCAGAGGAGAAGGAAGCCCTGAAACCATCTGTTTCGCGCTCAACGTCCCTGCAATGCCCATGGGGGTGTGGGGGCAGTAGGCTCCCTTCACGGCTATCCCGAACCCGACCTTCCCCAGCGCGGTTGGGCTTCATGGCTGCGCTGTGCTGCGCACGGATGGCGGCTCTTGAAATCCAACCCATCTGGAGGGCAGCTGGTTGGAGAAAGCTGATATAGGAGAACCCTGCACCCCTTGGGGAGCCCCTTCTAAGGCCACATCAAAAAACCTCCAGCAAGGAAGAGATGAGGCCGCTTGGAGCCCCCGGAAGAGCCCTGCGTTCTCTCTGTTTGATCAGAGTGGGAAACCGGCTGGTCGCCGGATGATGACCCTACTGTGGAATTTAAGCCGGGTTGCTCCATTGCGAGCCTCTGCATAAAAGGTGCCAGCTTTGGCGGAACGAGGGCTGGGACGCAGCCCAGAAGCATCTAATGCTTTGCTGGCATTAAGGCACTTGGAGGATTCCTGTCGGGGTCCAGACCCCCACAGTGACACTCAGTCCTTGCCCAGGAGCTGAAGACCCCCTCGGGGTAGCCCCACTCCACAGGTGCCAAGCAGTCCAGAAGGGGAACCGGTTTGCTCAGCATCTGCTCTTCTGTAACGCCCTCCTGTGCCCAGAAATCCAGCCCCCCCTTGTGCTCCCAAGTCCAAAGCGAGGAGTCCAGAAGACGCCCCCCACCTTAGAGGTCGGCCCGCCCAACTCGAGGAGTTTCCCCCGCAGGGGACCTGCCTACGAAGACACCTGCTGCCCATCTCCAGCCAGAACGGGCAATAGAGGAAACCCAGCTCAGACAACCCCTGGGCTGAAGGCACCCATTTCTGGGGGAGGGGGAGCCTAGCGTGGCACCTGCTTAACTCTGGAGCTCTGCCCTCTTCTAATTCGAAACGGAAAAGCTCACGAAAGGAAAGATGAAGCCGAGAGACAGGGCAAACTGCGCAGCCTTCTGAGGACAACCCCGCGCCGGACGCCGGACGCCGAGCACCTTGCAGGGATCCAGCAGATCCCGGCCTCAAAGCCAGAAGGGCGTCTCACAAGCCCAAGGAGATACCAGCCCCATTCCCCCATCAAGG